TTTTGTATTTGAAGAGGAGTTACTGCGCATGTACAACGAGAGTCTATGGGCAAAGATTTTTGCACCTTATAGCGGAAATACGTCAGCAGACAATGTTGATGAAGGAAACAACTTTACTCATGATTAACTATAAAATATTTATCTTACACAATTAAAAAAATATATACATATATGTCAAAATATTTTATTATTGCATTTTTATTAAAAAAATTTTACGTCTTATTCAAGGTAGTGTGGTGAGTGAAGAGTGGTAGGGCAACGCCCTCTATTGTCCAGCCGCCACTGGTTGGCACTAACAGTTAATGCCAAAATTTGAAACAAAGGTTTGCTCAACCTGTTAGTGTCAAAGCATGTCTTGGAGGTAACTCTCAACTACTTCCACACCAATCTTCAGCTCACTATAAGTAAAATGGACATGAATTATAAACATTGTATTTGCTAGTCGATCCGCTGCAGTGGCCATCTTGAATTGGGTTAATTACGAACGTAACGTACCGTTCATCCAGTGATTGTGAATGATGGGTTATGTTAAAATTAGTTCAAAGGTGTAGATGAACATATGCATGAGATATATTCATAAATTAAACGGATTCTTTCATTTTTCTGGACCGTATATAATGTGCATTGAATTTAGAAATGTAACGTGAGACGTTAATTATCTTTGACTCACCAACGACAGTGGGTCATTTATTAACAGAATCAAGTTTAACACATCACACATTTACATTAATTGGCAAAATATGAAAAATAACAACATGGCTAATTTTAGCAAGCTGTACAATTTTGATTGACCACACGGCGGTGGTTGAGAACTTTACACAGACATTTCTAAAATATCTGGAATGATTTCTACCTGATAGAAGAATTTTAAAGATGGAAAGATGAAGTTTAGAGGGAGAAAAAGATGGGTGAGGGGGTTTGTTTGTGTTAGCATCAGAACGGCACTCTCCGGGCTTTTTTCAGCTTCTTCCCCCAGTACACTTAGGTGGGATAAATCAACTCTTTTACCTGGAGATGTCTCCACTGGTACGAAAGTCCATTCAACGCACCCTTTCAGCGTCTCCGTAGGAACAGCTGTGAATCGTCCGAAGTAGTGACGGTACTTATTCGACACAAATTCACCTCACGAGTGGACTTCACATGAGTGGAGTCCGTCAGAGTTCCACCCAGAGGTGGAAGATGTTATAATCCCATAAGACTCAGAAGAGCTCTGTGGTCATGTCAGGATCTTCCTGTTTCCCAGCACGGGAGCTGCAACGACTGAAGCCAGAGCCTGAAGCGACTGGACTTCTGCAAACTCTCCACCCGACTCTCCTCGACACCAAACTCGACTCCAACTCGACCTAAACTCGACTGGTTTGAACTAGGAAGTACCGACATTTTAAAGGGCTCTATTTCTGGTTCATTTGGGAGTTTCTGATTGGTCAATATCGACCAGACAGGGATGTGTTTTGTGACGTAAGAGGTCACTAGGAGTCAGAAAAACAGCAAGAATGTTATGGAACAGATTGAAAATGTTTTTAGAGACAGAGAGAGAAATGTTTGGCCGAGTTGGCGGAAAACAGGTGCCAACAGGTGCCAGCTTCTCTATTTACGTCTGAGAGGATTTAAAAACATGACAGCTCGTTCCAACACTTGTCTGCGTTTGACTCCAACCTTGGACCAACTTACCCTGCTCATTCAAAGACAGAAAATCAGAAAATGCATAATTACTCTGTAACAGACCTTAACATGAATTCTAACTTTGCATGAGGATTAAAAATCATTGTTACTGTTTCACAGTTAATTAAAAATGATTAGTTCACTGCAACATCTAAAATGGTTTGAACTAAAACACTTTGATTATCAAACATTTGTAAAATAGTAATGATAATAGAAAAGAGAGTGTTCTTTCACTTGAATTTTCAAGAAAGAAAGTCTCAGGATGGGTCAACCTGTATTTCTGTATTCAAATCAATGAAATGACAGTTTCTGTCCCATATGGTCCTAAGGTCAAGGTTTTGACATCAGGCCTAGTTCACTACAAAGGTTAATTTGATAATTGTCTAACGGACAGACAAACAAACCCCAGAAAGAATTCCAGTCCTAGACGATCAAGTTATGACTCCTTTTGTCCTACAATATCTCCTCAGCAGACGAATCTCTTCTCTCCTGCATCATCATCATTCCATATTGAGGAACATATACCGGTCAGAGGAGATTGGATGTGTTCTTTCATAGCCTCTCCACACTTCACAGACTTCTAATAAAGGAAAAGCCAAATTCAATTACAGTAGCAGAGGGAGACTACAAGAGAAGTTTCAATGACAAGGCATGCACACGCACACACACACAGAAAGCAGCAGCAGCAGTTATTCTCATTGAAGACAGTTTATTTTTTCTTTCGAAGCAATTGTAAGTCTGATTTTCACCAGTCGTCAGGCACCTGCGGCCCTTGTCTCAAAACTTAAGTTGGTTGTTCAGCAACAAGCATATTTTGCAGCACATGCCAGCCCTCTTGAAATAGATTGTTTTTTCTAAGATGTGATGACTTCATGCATCATGGCAACGCATCATCAGCCACATGTGTGAGTGTCAAAACCTCCCACTCATCCCAGAAATGTGCACGCCCGCCACCTGATCAGTTCATCACATTTCTTTCCGCCCAGCCAAAATGCATTGTCACTAAATAGCCAGATCCCTTTTCTTTATCGGTCCACGTGTTAACTATGTGATACATGTGCCAGTGGAAAACAACAAGTTTTTACGAGAGGTCTGGTATCTTTTTAAGATATCTGCTATATAGCATCATAGCTATGGAAGGTAACCTATGTGTGTATGGATTTTTTTCCCAGCAATTTAAAGCTGTACTTTTGACATCAACTCATAATGACTCGGTTTGTCTTTTCTGGGAAAAATATACCCCCCATGTTAATTCATTCATTCTTGCCTTTTTCTAATCTTCTAGATTCAGCCTTAAGCAGCTGAACAGAACCTTATCATTTTATTGACTTCAAATGCCAACTATCTGATTACACGTTTGTTTCTGAGTGAAGAGGTTATCAACAACTATTCAGCTTATTTCTCAATGAAAAACAGCCGCTCGCATGTTTACAGCCCAAGAAGTCTATTGAGCCTCATAAACCATATCAATTACCGGTACATGTACATCAGTGTTGGAAATACAAATAATCCAATAATTAGGATCTTGTCAGTGTTCAAAATGAACGCCGACACTTATAAGTGTGGAAGTTTAATCACTTTAAACATGTCTCTGTTTGTTTACAGGGCTTGATGCAGCTCACATATAATCTAACATCTTCCAATGGAAGAACAGAAGAATAAACAGTCACATATCAACTCTTAATAGTTGACTTTAGTGCAGTTGCTGTTGACAGTGTAACTAGTACTTAACCAGATGAATAATCGACTGGCTAGGAGCAACCAAACCGATGACGGGGGTCTTGTTCATGAGTGATGACGTTTGAAGGAAGATGGACGGATGGATTGGTGTCTCTGTAGTAATGAGGGCAATTGTCCTGGTAAAGAAGTACGACTCTTGACTAAAGATCTTTTTTCCAGATATTTAGGTGACTAAAACAAACGTCCTTTGTAGGGTGGCCAGACTCAGCCTTAGAGTAGTAATGTTACAAAGAAAAACGATCACACACACATTTTCCCTTCTGACCAGATGAGATCATCCCTGATTCCGGGGCTTCAAAAAAAAAAAATAAAAAAAAATTTGGGACAACAGATTGTCATGAAAATTGTTCAAAATATAAAAAATTAACACTAAATTCCCAGTTTTTTTAAATGAATCATTCATGTGCGATGTGTGACTTTTGAACATTGGAATCTAATTCTCATGCGTAAACGCACCCATCCCAGCGATTTGGGATTGTAACAAACATAGAGATAAGTTGAGGAGCTCAGGGGGAGTCACTGCTCCTCCGCACTGAAATGAGTCAGCTGAGGTGGTTTGAGGATCTGATCGAGTGGGAATACACTGGTAGAAAACCCGAGGGCAGAGCAAAAACTAGCTTGCTCAATAATCCAGGTATACAATCCAACAATTTTCAGTCAGGTCATCTGGACAGTTTCTTTTGTGTGTGTGTTGAAACGTTTCACCTTCCATCCAGAAGCTGGAGGGATTATATTTATGACTTTGTTTTTTCGTTTGAAACGTTTTCCAATGGTGGAAATAGGCTTCTATAATAAAGTTCACACATTTTCCCAAGAATATAATAATCTGTAGAAATATTATATACTTGATTTGCAGTTATACTCTAACTTGTATTGTCGAAGCTCCTCATGCAAGTTTCCAATGATAGGCTGTGATCTGTGTTAATTGTGAAGACTGCAGAGAAGATGTACTGCCTGAATTTAGAATATTTAAACACAAAACATATAAATACATGTTGGATTATAGGTAATCTCCTCCTCCTTCCAGTTTTTTTTTCTATTCTACCCCTCTCTTTCATCCCTGCTGTGTTTAAACTTCCCCTCCCTCCTTTTTCTGTCTCCATGCTGAAAAAGGGAACAGAGTGAAATATGTGGAGTCCCTCCCAGACTCCACTGCTGTGCTGCTTATTGAGAAGCCTTCACTCCGCTGGGCATGCAGGCATGAAGATTTAGTTCAGATCTGCCTCTTGCTTGGCAGGAACACCATCGGCTATTAGGCAGACTTCATGGAGTGGAGATAGTGTGCATTACCTTTGGACGTTTATGGAAATAATCAACCTCACCTGGCGCAGCTGATTGCACCGAACTGCTCCGCCTCTCCTCTGTGAGCTGACTGACTGGTTGGAGCAACATCCGTTTTTAAGCAGTTAAAAAAAATAGAAGTGTGGGTTGGGTTAAAGGGACACTTATAAAGAAGTGCTTGTTGGTTTCTGCATACTTCACCAGCAGCCAGGCTGGAAAAGGCGCACAGGAGGAGACAAAGATTTTCACTAGAGATTTTTGAAGGCACTGCAGTAACTTTTTTCCTCTTTCCACTTTGCCTGAAGTTGGAGAGAACCATGGGCAGCTTAGTCAGGTCCCTGCTGCTGCTGCTACTGCCTGTCTTGGTGCTGTGTGAAGATCTGCCAGAGAGCTGGCAGCCAGGAGACTACACAAACAGCACCTCTGATGCACTCAGGTTCCTCGGTGACTACAACAGCACTGCTGAGGAGGTGTTCTTCTACAGCGTGTCTGCCAGCTGGAACTACAACACTAACATAACAGAATACAACTCCAAGCTTCAGGTAGGAACTAAATCTCCTCATTCCCACTCTGACTATCCTGGCAGTTTGTCACCACAGATACATTCAGGGGCAAATGTTTCTGTGGAGCTTAGCTCTGCATGAATTGGAAATGAAACATTAGTTAACTCTCTCCAGAATTTCATGCTAAGTTTCTTCCCTGAGACTGCTCTTTCTGCAAGAAGAAGAAAAAAATTTTAGTGCCCGTGGTGTGAATTTTGCTTTTACACACACAAATAAGTCTTTATAGTCGACTATGAAAATATTTGCTGGCAGAAAATGGCCAGCTGCACAGCTGTCCCAACACTAAATTTTATGCTGACGTAACCTTGTTTTCTAGTTCGATACCAGTGAACTGATGAACTCTCTCACTCACTCACTAAGGAACTCTTCCCAGTTCTATACCATTTGTTAGCAGGACCTTCATCTTCTGTTACAGTGGGAAAAAATATGGTTGGTGGTGTGACATGTAGTTTCTACCCCACAGGCAACAAGCTGTGGCATTACAAACTACTACTCTGAGAACATCATGCATTAAAGGGGCTTAGGAGATACTCACAACTTCATTAAATACATGCTAACACATGTATTAAATCTCTTTTTAACACTTGCCACATTCCAAACTGCTATGCAAACTAATATTGTTTGACCAACAATAAAACAAACGTAAACCTTCTAAAAATAGCATGAAAATATTAAACATTTCTTACTAGACAATACAGTCTAGTTGGTGGTGGTCTGACATATAACTCCTGTTCCAATACAGCAAAACAGGGATACAGTCAACACTCTAAAGCCACTTCTCGATTGTTAAGTACCATTCTAATTACTTAGTTTCTATTTGGTTCTACCCAAGTGTAGGTGTGTCTACATTGGGAGCGTGTCCCTCACTCCGTAGGCAGAACGGTGGGTGGGATCATCAATGTAAAGTGAGCTGGGGATCTGGCCGATGCTCTGATGATATAATTTTCCAGCAACACTCAGCCATGGACAACATCAAGGTTGTGTTTTTCATTGTGCTCATTCTAAACGAGACAGAAAATTTGACTGCTCTGACAGTGATGGCTGTGAAGGTAGCTTCAACAGCTGTATGTAGTACGGGGAAAAAAACTGAGAAGGAGCACAAGGCAGTATGCATTGTACAATATCAAGCAGTGGTTTGAAGACAAAGTGGAAGAAGAAAGGAGAAGGCGTCTCAAGCTGGTAAGCTAAAAGTAGCTATTGCTATCTTGTTATCAGCATCGGCTCATAAAAGTTGCATACACAACCATTTTTAACATATAATTTCAACAACATATAGTCTAACAATATCTACACCCCATTTTTATTTTCCAGATGGCTGTTAAGCTTGTACTGTCAAAGGCCATCTGTCTGGATATTCAGCCGTACCAATTGGTGGTGTGACAATGTTGGTCCTGCCTTCACACCTGCACAGTGGATTAATAAATTTACAATGTCCAGACAGACATGGTTCTGTCAGTGCAATAAATTATGCCTGGTTATGCACGTAGACACCAGTTTCTGGAGCTGTATCCCATTAAAGAAGAGTGTGGCCATTGCTCTATGGAAGCTTGCCACCCGTTCTGAGTATGGGCGATTTGGCCATCTTTTGGGAGTGAGCACCAGTGTGCAGGTGTTTGCAGGATTTTTGTTCAGCAGCACAGACATTAGTTGTGCCAGAACTGATCAATTTGCCTCATGAAGGTAGATTCAAGGCGATGGCTGCATTTTTTTTTTTAAACCTATGGGGTCTTCCTCAGTGTGTGGGTGCTATTGATTAGTCCCACATACCTATCATGTGGTGGCGCAGAGGTTAGAGGAGATGGGTCTGTGATCGGAAGATCGTCGGTTCAAGCCCCGGTACCGACAACATCAAAAATGTGGGTGGGGTAGGTGAAGCACCCACAGCTGCCCCCACCCTCATTCGCCCCACTCTGTGCCCATGAGCAAGGCCCTTAACCCCCATCTGCTCCCTAAACAGGTCTCTCTTGAAAATGAGTTATTGTGGCTCAATGAGACTACCTGTATAAATAAAGGGTAAATGAAAATGAAAAAAATCATAGCACCACAACAATTTCACACTGACTACTTTTAATTGTAAAGGCTGAAATTTCATTTCTGTGGTTGATGGGAAGGGCTTGTTTTGGAATGTCTTTGCTGGACTGACAGGGAGTTTCCATGATGCCCGGGTACTGAGAGTGGCCACACTGTAGGAGCTAGCCAGGTGGAAAAACCTTTTCTCAGTGCATATCATGGACATAGGTCTGGTCTCTGTTAGCTAATACATCCCGGGAGACTCTACATATGCACATATAAAAAAACTGGCTCCTCAAGCTATTTCCTAACATAGGAGGACTGTCAAATGAGCAGCAAATCTTCAGTCAAAGTCAGTCGAGCAGGGGTGGTTGTGGAGCATGCCTTCAGCTGGCTGAAATAGAGATGGTGCCAAATAGCACTGGGGTTGTCCACAGTAGACTGTGAAGCAGCCAGAATGAGAGTCAGTTCCTCTAACTCAGAGGCCATGATTCTTGACAGGAAACAGGTGGAGAGCCTTATCCCGGTCTGGGGGGAGTCTTTTTTGTCTCGGGTGGAGTAAGTCTCTGGACACCTTGTTCACGAGTGATGGTAGGATGAAGTGGAAGATAGATTGATGGATTAAGGCCTTGTCCTCAATAATGAGGGTGTTTTTCAGTCATCCATCGTGAAGAAAGAACTGAGTTGAAAGCCAAAGCTCTCGATTTACTGGTCTGTCTACACTCCCACCCTCACTTGTGGTTATGAGGCTTGGATCATGACTGAAAGAATGAGATCCTGGATACAAGCAGCCAAAATAAGCTTTCTTTGCAAGTTGGCCAGGCTCAACTTTAGAGATAAAGTGAGGAGCTATGTTATTGGGAGGAGATTGGAGTAGAGCTGCTGCTTCTCCACATTGAAAGGAGTCTGTTGAGGTGGTTGGGGCATCTGATTAGGATACTTTGTGGACGCCTCCTTTCCAGGCAAGTCCCACTGGTAGGAAGCCCTAGAGAAGACCCAGAATTTGCTGGAGGGAATGTGTATCTTCTCTGGCATGAGAAAGCCTTGAGTTCCCCAGGACATGTTGGAACATTTTGCTGGGGAGAGGGATGTCTGGATTTCTCTCTTGGACCTGTTGCATATGGATAAGAGATATAAGGTGGAGAATAAGCCTACTAACAGGATTAATGAGCCAACCAGTATGGGTTCTGGCAGACGCAGCACCTGTTGGATGGCATTCAATTTTACAAACATCAGGTTCTAAAGTCACTGGGACCATCTAGTTGGACATATCCACCTCTGTGCATGAAGTGAACAATGCAAATCCAGCTGAAGGTAAGTCTGAGTACTCTTCATCATCACAACCTGTCTCAATCACACATGATTATGCAGGGGATACAGTAACCTTGGTAGAATTATTTCCATCCTCCAAAGGAATGTGAGAGATCCAGTGATAAGGTTGAGCAGTAGCAACCACAGAAAAATCAAGTTCTGCAATGGTCTCTGTAGAAAGTTTCTCACTCCTATCATTGCTGAAGAACAGGAAGATATCAAGAAGACACAATTATCAGAGTCAGACAGGACTGGTAGGATGTTCACACATCAGCAAGTTACAGTGAACAACTTTTGACAGGCCAGAGATGGGATCACAGATTTCAACTGTATGAGTTTGGGGGTTACTCTTGACCACAGTATAAACAACCTGCCCCCATCGGTCAGCCAATTTTCTGCATCCCCTCTCTTCTTTTTTTGCTAGGAAAACTAAGTCACCATCTTCAATCTCCACTTCCTTAACTCTTCGGTTGTAATTGTTAACTTGATGACTGTTTTACACTTGCATGTGCTTCTGCTAACACTGTAGCTTATTGAACTTTTCTTAGTTCCTCAACATATAAAGGGAAATCAATCAACCTTTATTTATACAGGTAAATCCCATTGAGCCTCGAGGACTCATTTACAAGAGAGACCTGATTTCAACAAAGAAAGATGACAACAATGGACAACAGCAACAACAATAAACAATTATAAAAAAAGCATACTACAGTTTTTTTTTGTTTGTTTGTTTTTTTTTAACAAATAGGATGGCTAAAAGGAAAAGGTAACAAAACAAAAAACAGCTAGATTCCAAGACAAATGTAGAAAACTAACAACAGGAACATGTCTGCATTGGTCCCTGCCAGGTGTCCAACAGATTCTTAAAGACACTTAGAGAGGTCAAGGTCGAGAGCTTCAAATCTTTTTGTAAGATATTCCAGGAAACAGGAGCAGAGTAGGAGAAGGTCCTTTTTCCTAGTTCAGTCCTCATTGAGGGAACACTGCAGGTAATAATGTCCTGAGAGCGCACTCCGTAGCTGCACTCACGCAGAGACATGTAGGAGGAGATGTATGAAGGCAACAGACCAAGAAGTGATTTAAAGATGAAAATATACCAGTGAGAGAGTCTGCGTGAAGTTAATGATGTCCAGTTAACCAGTGAATACAGTGTCATTTCCCAGAGTAGACTTAAATAGTACACCAGCAGGTAGGTGAGGATTGGGAACTTGTCCAAACATGAGGTAGAAAGGATGGAACCCAGTAGTCTCATGAGGTATGATGTAAGAGTGTGCAACATTTGAGGTCAGGCCCATTTTGTCCTGGGTAGCAAAATCCTGATCATATTTCTCAACATCCAGTTGAACCGTTCTGATCATCCATTCCCCGTAGGATGATAGGCCATGACGTGGGACTTAACACCTGACATTTGAAGAAGTGCTGCTGTTAATACAATCTAGAATTTGGTACCGTGGTCAAAGTGAATCCGCAAGCTATAATAGAAGAAAATGTTACCTCACATCTTCAGAGACACCTCTTTAGAAGTTTTATCAGAATATTCAAAAGCATGAGCCAACCTGGGAAAGTCGCAACTAAAACAACATCAGTTACTGGAATCTTCAGCTGTACAAAGGTCTATGCACATTACCTCCATTGGAGCTGTGATTCTGATGCTATATAATAATGCACAACCATCTGGCTCTGGTGTTTTACCCATTACACACTTTGTACAACACTCCACATAGTCTCTTACATCATGCTACATGGAACTCCAATAGAACCGCTGCTCCGCTAGAGAGATGATCCTGTACTGACCCTGGTGGTCCACGTCATTATGGCACTCACACATCACATTCTCTCTTATTGACATTGAAATAATGTACTGGCATTTAATTTTCCTAGTGCATGGATCTTTAGAGACATGAAAGAGGATGCCATCCTTAAGCATCACCTTGTCCCACTGCCTAGAAATCGTAAAACACAAACATACTTGTTTGTCCTCTCTCTGATGTGGTCTGTGTTGGAGTTCAACATAAAGAACCACTCTTGCCGGGTCAACATCTTTCATTTGTCTATGAGGTCCTGTTTAGACATAGAGGTCAAGACATCCTGACCACCCTTGGCCATGACACTCTGGATGTGATTAAACAGAGCTGTGGACCTAGTCTTCACCACCTCCTCCCATCCTGAATGACATTTCAATAGAGCAGGAAACAACAGGACACCAGCTAAATTGTACCAGCACCATACCTGATCCAGCCACTTTGTATAGCTCTTTCAAAATACTGGTGGATGCTTGGCCATTTAAAGGCCTCCTGCAGATTGTCTTCAGACAAACCCTCCGACTCCTTCAAAAAATGATTATGTGACTCACTGATCAGTCACTTGCCAATCCATTTCAATGCAAAAGCTCTCTACTGAAGACATCAACAACAATTTGAGGCTCTGGGATCTATTTTATGTCAAACTTGTAGGCAGCCAACTTTGCAACTCAGCACTGCTTGCAGGCATCAATTTTAGGTGTGGTATGGATGTGTACAAGAGGGTTGTTGTCTTTCCAAGCAGTGAAAATTGATCCCTTCAGCCAATGATGGAATTTATCATAAACTGCCCATTTAAGAGCCAAAATCGCTAATCGATTTTCTGGGTACTTATTCTGGGCCTTGTTCAGGATTTGACCGGCAAAAGGTATTGGGCAAACCCACTCATCACCTGGTGCTGGCCGTACCTGCAGCTCTGTTAGTTCCACCAGAACCAAACTCTCTGGCCCCTTTCCCACCTCAGGCTCAGGCTCCGTCCGGCCTGTTAGGTGGCTGTCTCATCTATCCTCCATCGACATGCGTGGAAAGAACTCTACGGAACAGTTCAGTTCTGCAGGGAACTTAGAATGTTCTGTGTCTGCTGGACCTGGTTCTGGAAGGCACTTATCACTCGTTGCCGCAGTCGTTATTATTATCATGCTGCTAACAGGACCAACTGCTAACAGAACCATGCTGCTAACAGGACCATACTGCTGACAGAACCATACCGCTAATAGAATCACTCTGCAATCTGGACCATGTTGCTAACAGCACCACCTTGCTAACAGAACCACACTGCTAACAGGATCATGCTGCTAACAGGACCATGGTGCTGCCAGAACCACATCGCTAAGAGAATCACTCTGCTAACAGGATCATGCTGCTAACAGGACCACGCTGCTACCAGAACCACACTGCCAACAAAACCACTCTGCTAACAGGACCATAACAGCTCCACGTTGCTAACAGAACCACACCGACACGAGAACCACCCTGCTAACAGGACCATGCTGCTAACAGTAACAGTCTTTTGCAACACTTTTTAAAAATTGTTTTATATTGTTGTTTGTACTCTATATGTTGTCTGTTTAAAACAGGTCTCTTTTGAAAATGAGTCCACATGACTCAGTGAGACTAGCTTTAAAAATAAAGGTTAAATTAAATAAATAAAAACCTTGACACTTGGGCAGTCTATAATGGAGTAGAGGAGGTGCTAATGGAGAAATGGTAAATGTGTAGCAGGAATACCTTGATGTGGTGAAGAGTTCCGCAAAAGTGTGTCCTTATCTTTATTTATTTATTTTTCTCTAAATGGGTGATCTGTATGGTTGGACGTTGTAGGTAAGCTGGAAAGTGGTATTGATGAACTGAATGGAACAGCACAAATGTTTGAGTTTAAGTTTTAATTCAACAGTCACCTTTATTTTTGTTAATATTATTCTTATTTGCATTCTACAACAAAGTCCATGCTCAATAATCCAGGTATACAATCCAACATTTTTCAGTCAGGTCATCTGGACAGTTTCTTTTTTTTTTGTTGTGCTGAAACGTTTCGCCTTCAGTCCGGAAGGCTTCATCAGTCAAGGAAACGCACAACAAAACTGATTCTTCCCCCAACAGCTTACTCCAAAGTGGAACAAACCAGTTCTGCTTGTGATAAGATGGTCTCTTTGGTACGCCCCCTCCTCCATTGCCGGCCCTCTTCCTTGTTGACAGTCTTGTCAAACTGGTTGAAAAAAGCAAAGTTCATGCTCAATAATCCAGGTATACAATCCAACATTTTTCAGTCGGGTCATCTGGACATTTGCATTCTGTTGTGGGGACGTTTGCTGTGGCAGATAAAGGGACATTTCAGTGAGAAGCTTCTGTTCTGTCAGACTATGGAGCATGTGACCAACAATTCACTGCTCTTTAATAAATTGTACTGATCTGTCCAAATACCAATTTATTTAAAAACTGCTTGCTTATTGTACTTTTAACATGAAGCTACACTATAATTTATTCTTGGCAGAAACATAAGTGTATGAATGCTTTACAAATGGAAAACAAAAATGGATTATCTTTGGCACATGTACTGAGCCTTGATTCAATTCTTCAAGCTCTAGTCATTTATATGAGGACACCATGACCTCTCAGAGTGCTTTAAAGAAAAGCTCTTCAGATGCGCTGAGGCTATGAGCATGTGCACCATAGTGACAAGCTTTTTCTAACATTTATCCTTCTGTTTTCATACTAATGCTTCATTGATCAGAAACATAAGGTGCAACTTTTCTAGCTTTAATAGTTAGAAAAGTCATGAATTCTAGTTTGTGGCTGAAAAATGCCATGATGAATTGTTAAAGGAGCCAAGGTTGGAGTGAGTTGGGGAGCCTGATTGTGTAAAATCTCCTTACTCTGACAGTTTAGGAGACTGCTATCAGATTTATAAAACCTACCATAAATACTCCCAGCAATTAATTCTAAGGCCCACTTGAGTTGCATGTTGCTGCAACATTTCTGCAATACAGATTCTGAATTTGTCTCAGCATAATTTATTAACTGTGGAAAAATTGCACATGCAGAGCAAGAGTTAATTAGTGATCTTTTTGTAATTTTCATACTCAATGATTGCATTTTGCTTTCGGCTTTAATAATAGTTCTTCCAACTTTTTGCACAAGAAAACCAACACCTGAACATTTTGTAAAGAGAAAGGGAAAATATCACTGACCAATGCAACTTCTTGGTTGGGAGTGTTCACGATTCTCTAAATTATGCATCGAAAGAAACAATCACAATTGTAACTGTCTTTAGACAAGACTGTCAAAGGCTCAATGATGCAGGTTGGGTAATAACTATACAGATGCATGCCTTTACACCTTGCCCAATAATAGGCAAGTTGTAAAACTAAGTGGAGGACCGGTATCTACGGTACTTGGCTTGAGTTCCACCTTTTGCGTAAAGCATTTCTACCTGAGTTTGTATAATGCAGTATGTAATACTTTCACTTTCATTTCTTAATAATCTCAACTATTGGGCCAATTTACAAATAAATGTCTATGGAAATTCTTAAATTACTGTAAGTAATGAAAGCTGGAGCATAAATTATAGAGAAACTTCATTGCTTGAGAGTTGAGGAATTGCAGGTGGTCTGACTAAGCTGGTCCTTTTTGGGACAATAGGAAGAGAGTGGTTAACTCTGTATTTAAAGGAATTTTTTTAAGACGATTCAGGCAATCTGTTTTTTTACAAGCACAAATCAAACTGACTCATCCAGTTAATAATAAAAAAAAAAAAAACTATTGTACAGACTAATTTTTACTCAAACTGATCTAAATGAAGAACAGCCATAATCACATTTCTTTTTCCTTGTCTTAGGTCAAAGCAGCCCTTGAAGAACAAGCATTTACTGAAGCCTGGGGATTCAAGGCCAAGGAGGTCTTTTCTGAAACATTTCTGGACTCTCTTCCAAACCCTAAAGACAAAAAGCTGATGAGAGACATTAAGGTGCTGGGTGCTGCCAACCTCCCACAGGCTGAAAGAGAAGAGGTTTGGTTGTCTGTAATCACAAGTTTGTCAAAGTGAGACTCTGCTGGCCTCTTAAAACATCAAATGTTTGTCCTTATTTGTAGTTCAACACCATCCTCAGCACCCTGGACAGTATTTATTCTACAGCTAAGGTACACCCTGAGCCAAACATCAGCTGGAGCCTGGATCCTGGTGAGTACAGGGCTTTGAATAAAAATGCTTTTTAAAGCGCAAGATCTAAGAATGCTTTAAAAGTGCAATGCTAATTTAGTAGTGTTGAGGAACAGGAAACACTGTGGGGGTGGTGGGGTGGGGGGTGTCCTGGAATCATAACAGCTCTAAGTGGTTTAGATGTTATCGGTTCTCGTCAGGAACAGGATGGACATAATTTCTTAAGGGGCTCTATAGGAAGTGTTCTGGATGTATTCCAAGCGTTCTGTGCAGAACACAAAATAAACAACATGGTGGCTTCTAGTGCTACGGGACTTCATTGGGAACAATAGACTTTTGTGTTTGGAGCTACAACTGCTGAATGAATTTATGAGAAACTCCTGTCGACACAAGGTAAACAATCGCCTCTGCTAAAAATGCTTGTAAACCAAATGAGCTCCTTACTGGTCAGGGACAACCACAATTACCCCCACTCTCCACCCACCCCGATTATGGAAACAATACTAAAGGAAACAGTTAAACAATCAGATGAGTTTTTTTGATTGATTTACCATACCATACCATAACATACCATACCATGCCAGCTTTATTTACAGAGCACTTTAAACACCTATAGGACCAAGTGCTGTACAGTACACATAATAAAACAATCATACAATCAGATAATAAAAAGTGATTAAAATTATTAAAAGTCTACATTTCAGATGGTGTCAAAGGCCAGGGAGAAGAGATGGGTTTTAAGAAGGGATTTAAAAACAGACAGGGTCTGATATTCAAGGGAAAGTTGTTCCATAATTTAGGAGCTGCCAGAGCAAAAGCACGGTCTCCTCCGAGTTTACGCTTTGTCTTCGGCACACTCAGGAGCAGCTGATCACATGACCTGTGGGATCGAGAGGGTGTGTATGAATGTAGCAACTCAGACATATAGGGTGGGGCAAGTCCATTTAGAGCTTTTAAAGCAAATAAAATAGTTTTTAAATTAATCCTAAAATGTATGGGCAGCCAGTACAAGGAGGATAAAACAGGGGAAATGTGGTGAAACTTTCATGTGCCAGTTAAAAGCCCTACATCAGCATTCTGTACCCTCTGAAGCTGAGAGATACATGAGTCACTGATTCCTGTGTAGTGCATTACAGTAATCCAGCTGAGTGGTCACAAAGTGTGAACTACTGTTTCGAAATGCCACTGAGAAAGAATCAGCTTTACTTTAGCCATCTGCCGCAAATGAAAAGAAAAAACTAGATTTAAGAACTGCTCTGATGTGGTTTTATAACTTTAGTCCAGCATCGACTTTGACCCTTAGGTTTGTAATAGTTGGCCAAAGAACCAACATCTACATTGGGAGGCTCAGTAGAGCTTCAAAGACCATCACCTCAGTATTTTCCTCATTTAACTTTAAGAAGTTCACAGCCATCCAGGCTTTGATGTCCTCCAGACATGAAAACTGAGATTTACTTCTAGAAATACATTTCAACTTTGTCTGTTTTTACAGTTTACCTTCTTTATTGTGAAACCCAGTTTTATTTTAAACTATTATTGATGCTTATTCCTTAGGTTATTTTTGTTTTTATCTTTGACTGATTAATGTATTTTCTTGCAGATCTCACAGAAATCATGGCTAGCTCCAGAAGCTACAAGCAGTTGCTGTTTGCTTGGGAAGGCTGGCACAATGAATCAGGTGTGCCTATGAAACAGTATTACCCAAGATTTGTGGAGCTCAGCAACAAAGCTGCACGAGCTGATGGTAAGAAATACCACCTGACATTTTCATTCTGAAGTATTGCATTCAATATTCTAAAGTTTCAGAATAAATGGCAAAAGAATGATGGAGACAACTGAATGGAAAACATTTCTCTCTAGGATTTGAAGACACTGGAGCATATTGGCGCTCTTGGTATGAAACTGAAACTTTTGAGCAGGATATAGAGAAACTCTACAGGACCATTGAGCCACTCTACCTGAACCTGCACGCCTTTGTGCGCCGCCAGCTCTACAACTTCTATGGTCCCAAGTATATCAATCTAAAAGGACCAATCCCTGCCCACCTGTTGGGTAAGATGCCTTTTTTTTTTTTAGTTGGTTGGTTTGTGCTTCTTAATTCTTTGAAACAAGTTTGACTTGAATTTTAGGCATTGTAAAAATTTTCTATTTCAAATAATGTATTTAAAAGTATTTGCAAACACACTCTTCATAAACATTTCAAGAACAATGGGAGCAAGAAGTCATGATACAAATCAGTGAATGCATGAATGCATTTCCTTTAGTCTTGCATGGTAAGTCAGAATGACCATACAATCATGTTTCCATCCTCTCACTCAGGAAATATGTGGGCCCAGACTTGGAATAACATTTATGATATGATGATACCATTTCCTGAGAAACCCAACCTGGATGTGACGAATGAAATGGTCAAACAAGTGAGTGTGACAAGACTTGTTCATGCTACTGAAGTGGTGCTGGGTGTGGTGTTTAGATGATCTGACTTTTACCAAATGGTCTTTCTCAGGGCTACAATGCCACTCACATGTTCCGTGTGGCTGAAGAGTTCTTCACATCTTTGGGTTTAGCAGAGATGCCCACAGAGTTCTGGGAAGAATCGATGCTTGTTAAGCCTAATGACCGAGAGGTTGTGTGTCATGCATCTGCTTGGGATTTTAAAAACCGCAAAGACTTCAGGTAAATCCCCTTATCGTTTCTAGTTATGACTCAAATGATGGTGTGTTAATGTTTGATGTTCTTCAGGATTAAACAGTGCACCACAGTGACGATGGAACAGCTTGCCACTGTTCATCATGAAATGGGACACATCCAGTATTACCTGCAGTACAAGGACCAGCCGGTGGGCTTCCGTAGTGGAGCCAACCCTGGTTTCCATGAAGCTATTGGTGATGTTATGAGTCTTTCAGTTTCCACACCAAACCATCTGCACAAAATCAATCTGCTGGAGTCTGCAGCATCTGATGCTGGTAATACCTGTATTTCCAAATACCTCAGTTAAATGAATGTGGATGAACTGGCAACATGGGCTTCAACATTCCAGTTTTATTAATGTGTTTTTTTTTCTTCTAGAAACTGATCTTAACTACTTATTGAAGATGGCTCTGGAGAAGATAGCCTTCCTTCCTTTTGGCTACCTCATTGACCTCTGGAGATGGAGTGTGTTCAGTGGAAGCACCGCTCCAGAGAATTACAACTCTGAATGGTGGTACCTCAGGTAGAACAATATGCAAACAGAATGTACTTTAATTAGGTACAGGGCTGACACATATGTTCTTAAAATTACATTCTAATGTTTTAAATAGAACAAAATACCAAGGGATTTGTCCACCAACTAGACGTACAGAGGAGCATTTTGATCCTGGTGCAAAATATCATATCCCTGGGAACACCCCATACATCAGGTACTGTCCTATGATGACTGAAACAAAAGTCAACAGAATCGTTCACAAACATGAAACAGATTGTTATCCTTAATTTTACAAGTTTGTGCTTTATGTGCCACAAGTGTCATGGCTTTACAGACATGTGTTCTACCTTGCACACACGTTGTACATTGTATGCATGCCTGAAATGTACAGTGCATATGCTACAAGGATGATCTGAGAAGTATGCCTAAATGTTTATTTTAAACTACACAATCACCATACAATGGGAGGAAACCTGCTGCAGAGAACAAGGAAGTGTTTAAGTTACACTAGCTGATTTCTTCCCACTAAAATAAAAGCAGTCAAGACAACAAAACATTGACATCCGTCTACACCCCCCACCCCCACCTCCCCATGCAGGTATTTTGTCAGTTTCATTCTGCAATTCCAGTTTCATGAGAAACTGTGCCAGGCTGCCAAACACACAGGTCCCCTGCACACATGTGACATCTACCAATCTGCAGAAGCAGGAGCCATTCTAAAGTAAGTCAGCAAAATGAATTTCTGTTTAATACACAGCATGAATGATGGGTTAAAAGTATTATCTCCTCCCCAAGGAAAGTTCTTCAGGCTGGCTCTTCCAGACCTTGGCCTGATGTGCTTGAAGATGCTATAGGCACCAGGGAGATGAGTGCCAGCTCATTGATGAAATACTTTGAACCTGTAACTAAGTGGCTGGAGAAACAAAATGTGAATGAAACTCTGGGATGGCCTGAATTTGGTTGGGTTCCACCAATTCCTGAGGGCTACCCTCAAGATATTGGTAATAATTAAATAAAGCACACTTGTAGTCATGGCTTTTCTTTTTTATTTTACTCACTGAAGTTCTCTTTCAGACAAGAATACAAATGAGCTTGATGCAAAGCAACTTCTGCAAGAGTATAACAGCACAGCTGAAGTTGTGTGGAACGCGTACACTGAAGCCTCCTGGACGTACAACACTGACATCACAGACGCTAATAAAGAAGTCATGGTGAGTACGGTTCTCAAAGTTTCATAAAATACCTCATCAGTCACTTCATGTGGTCTACATTTGAATATTGCATCCAAATGCAAAATCAATTAACAGTCAATCAATTATTGACTCATTAATCCTGGTGTGCATACTCTAACAATGCAATTTGCATGTCAATCTAACATGAATGCTCTTAAATTATTAACCAGTGCAGCAGTTTTCTTAAAACTCAAAATATGCATTGTTCTCCTCTAGCTTAAGAAGAACCTGGAGATGTCGAAGCACACCCTAGAATATGGACTGAAGGCTCGGAAGTATGATACCACTGACTTCCAGGATCTGTCTATCAAACGCATCATTGAAAGTCTCAGTGACATTGAGAGGGCTGCACTGCCCTCAGCAGAACTGGAAGAGGTGAATAATAATATAAATGGATTTCAGATTGCCAAGCATTTCACTCTGAAAACATTTCACTCTAAAGGTTCACTGTATGCAGAAATATCTGAAATTCAGATACTATAAGAAAATCAGTGTCTTGTGTTTTTCTCAATGCCATGAGTGTAAACATGTTTGCATAGGCTCTTGTTGGATAAATAATGTAAAGGTTACTGAAACCAGATTTTTTTCTTGCATGTGTGCAAGATATTCTGAAATCAAAACAAATGCAGCTATCTGAAGGCTCAACATTCAGGACTATACTCAAAACTGCTAATTTCAGGATCTGTTCAAAGGATTGGAGCATCTTTACAGCCAGGATGACCAAAACTACTCTTGACAGGGAAAGGCTTAAATCTTTAGAAGTTAGCAAGATGGAGGCTTTTGTGCTCAAAATTACATCTTCAAGCTTGACTATATAAAGCTTTGTTAATGTAGACCGCAGTAGTTTTCAGAAAGGCCCGTCTGGCTCTATTCCAAACCCTCTGGCACCTGAGGGCCACCAAATGAGCTGAGGGGACAACAGCCTCTCGTTCCTGGGCAGAAATTACAGGGGGTTGGAAAACAAAAACAACATAGAAAGGAAAAAGTCCAGTAGCAGAGGAGGGGAGTGAGTTTATAGCATGTTCTACCCATGGTAGGGAGGAGAACCATTTCTCTGGGTCAATTGAACAATTGCACCCTCGACACCAGAGCACCAGTCAGCAGAAGGTGAGTGGTCCATGATGGCCAGATAGTTCTGTAACAACCCCCCCCCCCCCCCTAAAAAGGGGCTGGTCTAAAATCACAACAAATAAGCAAGTTAAACCAAGTTTATTGTGAGGACCCGCTTTAGTGGAACTGGGTCAAAACTGGTTCTGGTGTCGAGCTCTGGGCATCTGGGCTGGAATGAGTCTGTTGACAGGAAGAGAATGGTCAGTGGTCAAGCTGTTGACAGGGGCAAGTGTAACAGTCAAAGAGAAGTGACCACTAACCGTCTCGTTGGTTGAAGGGGGGTCCAGAGACTGATGTCGTTCCAGCACCACTGAGCAGCTGCAGGAGAGGCTGGTTCCGGTGAGGGAAGGCAGCCGGCCGCAGCGGTGAGCCAGTGAGTCCATGAGACGAAGACGCTTGTCCAACAAGTGGGAGTCCGAAAACGGGAAGCAGATGGGCGACAGGACCAACAGGTAAGAGTAGAGGATGTTGTCATACAGGCGAGGGTCGTTACCGTTTTCAGTGAGGCATTAGTCCAGGGGGTCGAGCAGGAGGCGAAGTCAGGCGGGCGATGAGTCAGGATGCTGGGAGAGCAAACCATAGAGGTAAGGATACAAACCAGGGAATGGGACAGGAGCAAGGAGACAGGTAAGTGACTAAACTGGGTAAACACTATGATAAACTATGAAATACAGGTACAAGGTATCAAGAGTGCAGAATAACTACAGGTAGTAAACTTTTTTCGACTATCTTGCAATCACCCTGTGTGAGAGTCTGACTTGTAAAGGGTGCAGAGACAGGAGCAGCTAATTGAAAGGTAATCAGAGCTGTGGGTGTTGCAGTGAAGACAAACTGGTTTGATCAGTGAAGACAACCTTAAACCCACATGCAGCCAAGACAACCTAAAACACACACATGCAGACAGAAGAAAAGAAAAGGATCCAAAGACACCAAGCAGTGCACAGTGATAGAAAATCTAACCAACAGGCATGAATAGTGACAACTATGGCGTGCAGCTATATGTACAACATAACCAATCTCATTCAGGTCTCTCTTGTAAATGAGTCCCCAAGGCTCAATGGGATTAACTTGTATAAATAAAGGTTGAATAATAACAATAAACACAAACTGGTTGTGAAATGAAAATAAAGCAGACTAGATGTAGGTCCTTAAAACAATTGAGAGCTTTTTTTTAAACCTTTTATTTTTTATTATTTAGTCATTTTAAATCACACATTTGAGCTTGATGAAAATGTCTAATCAAGATCAAAATTGTGACCACTGTTTTTTTGTCTGTCCAAACAGGTCTCACTTGTAAATGAGTCTTCGAGGCTCAATGTGATTTATCTGTTTAAATAAAGGTTGAATGAATGAAGGAAAAAACCTACAAAAGGACATTTGATCAAAACTGAAAGGGTCAAACTGTGTTTATAAAACTTGATTAAAACTTTAATATTGTTTCCAGAAATAAAACCTGAAATCTAAATGTGTAAATACAGCAGTAAGTACACTGTTCCTTTTGGGTTTTCAATTGAGATCATTCCACTTGCATACAATCTCTCATTGTAAGCGAAAATATGGGATTTTAATTTTTGCAATTTTCACACCTTGGGGTGAATTATGTTGATAAGAATTTGTCATATTAGAGCGTTGCAAAGAAGGGAAAACTATTTATTGAACAAACACAGAACTTCAAAAGCTGATGTCACATAAACCAACACAAGTCTGCTCAGGTTCAGGATGTGATGAAACAGGTTTTCACTTATCTTACTCGCACGGCTACTTTCTTACACATACAAAAACAACAAGAAAATAACTGTCTCTGAATTGAATCAAAAAGTGTTCTCCTTTTAGACCAAATGTAAATTTCCGTGTGTATTTTGCAGTACAACACACTTCTGTCCAACATGGAGACAAAATACAGTGTAGCTGAGGTTTGCAGGCCCAATAAGACATGCCATCCACTGGATCCAGGTATGTCAACATGGATATAAAGTGCAAGCTTGTTCGATGGCAGATGATCTGTTGTGATTTTAATTACTGTAATTTTTATGAGCACAGCAATTCAAGTTGTTTTTTAACTACTTCATTAGAAAAATGTGATTAAACCTTGTGTTCAACAGCCATTATTTTTAATATAAAACCTTCTGTGTCTCAGATCTGCAGAGGATCATGGCAGAGTCCAGAGATTATGATGAACTGTTGTTTGCCTGGAAAGGATGGAGAGATGCTGCTGGCAAAGTAATCCGTCAGGATTATAAGAAATATGTTGAAATGGCCAACAAAGCTGCCACACTCAATGGTAAGACATATGGACCTAATTTTACATCTGCACTAACAACTGCCCCAATGTCTCTGCCAGATAAATGGTAAAGATTAGTTCTAGCCAGAGGACAGGAAGCTGTTAATTATTTCCTGTTATAGTACAGGACTGACAAATGTAAGCTTATGTGTTTTCAAAAGTAAAATCATCTTGTACTCTGTTCCTTTATGACTTAAACCCAAACACATCCACAGCAGGCATTTTGACTTTGCAATATGTAAAGATAATATGTATAACACCAAAGTTCATGCTCAGTAATCCAGGTAAAAATCCAACATTCAGTCAGGTCATCCGGGCGGTTTTTGCTGAGATGTTTCATCCTTCATCTATGAAGGATCATATGTATAACTTTTGAATAATTTCCCTTCTCTGTGTATCAAACACAACAGAATAATCCAACAATGTTCAGTCAGGTCATCTGGAAGGCTTCTTTTTTGTGCTGAGACGTTTTGGCCGTCATCCAATGCACTTTTTCAATCTGAAGAACCACCAAACAAAACTGATTCTCCACAAACAGCATACTCCAGAGTGGGGGAAAAAGCAGTTTGCTGGTGATAAGATGGCCTCTGGGGCACGCCCTCTCCTCCGAGGCTTGCCCTCTCCCTCATCAACTCTTTTAAGACAGTCATGTCTAAAGTGGTTCAAAATAACAAAGTTCTTGCTCAATAATCCAGGTATAAAATCCTGAACAGAATAATAGTATAATAGAACAGAATAATAATTCCCCCAAATCATATCTGCTTAGAAAAAGGTCTGAAAACTAGATTTTAGATTTACAAAAACTCAAAATTTTAAGTTCTGTTTTTAGAGCCAGTTCACAGCATAAACAATTTTTTGGATTTTTACAACAACAAAAAAAAAAATGCATCACTGGTCCTTTTCATGTCCCTAAAGCAAATTTGAGCAATTTAGGATTGACCCACAAAGGCCTCCTCCTATTGCTCTGACTATTGTTCATTAAATTGGAGGGTGGAGCCATGTTGCTTGTTTGGGCTGTGCTGAGTCTGAGTTTATGGGCAAAGACCCAGGTGCTTGCCAACAAGCCTCCTTCCGAGATCTGGTTCACGTGTGAGGTCCAGGTATTAAAGGTTTTGGCAAGGTACTCCCTTGGTTGTAAGGCATGTGCAAGGATGACTGAATATATTTAGTCTTGGTCATTGACAAAACAAAATTTAAAAAAGTATCTCCGCTTCCATTTGTTATTTGAAAATGAAGCCACGACAATCTGCTGAAGATCATGGTGTGTGTCCCTAATATTATTCTTTAACAAGAACTTTGAGGCTCTGGTTTTAATTTCCACGTTCATTATAGAACACCGGTCTAGGCAGATGGTCACCCATCCTGAGCCTAGTTCTGCTGGAGGTTTCTTCCTGTTAAAAGGAAGTTTCTCCTGTACACTTCCACCGTTGTGCTGTTCAGGATCGGAGATTGTGACAAAGTAAAGATTCAGTTTAATCTGTTGGTTTCCTTGGATACATTTTACTGTCTGGCATTTTATGTATATTGTGTGACTGTTATTTTACAGTGCCCTGAAATGACTTTTGTTGTAAAGTGATGCTATTTGGGTTAACTGGGTAAAATTGAAAGAATTTACAGATTTTTTTTTTTTTTACATACCTGTACCTGGTTGTGTAGGACAATCTTTGAAGCCCTGACCTGATCAAGAATTTAGAATGACTGTGAGCCACATTCAAATACATCCATTAAAAGAGCTGTTACTCTCTATAGGTCATTCTGACAATGGGGCTTTTTGGCGGTCTCTGTATGAAACTCCCACCTTTGAGCAGGACCTGGAGACTCTGTGGAAGGAGCTAGAGCCGCTCTACCTGAACGTTCATGCATATGTTCGAAGGGCTCTGTACAAAGAGTATGGATCCAAATACATCAACCTAAAGGGACCAATTCCTGCTCATCTGCTGGGTATGTTTGGAGCTTTTTGAATGGAAAATATTGTTTTTACGTTGCCATATTCATACTGTGATAATTTCGGGCTGATCAGAAAAATTCCTGTGCAGCCATTTTATATGATATCCAAACTTTCCTTTGACATGGGAGAATTCCTCATCACTGAGGTTGCAGATGCCTTTGGATTACATTTTCATTCAGAGGCACCGAGTGTGAGATTATGTTTGACAGATGCACATGGTTAAAGACTAAACTGGCTATTGTGGCTAATCCTACTTGGTCAAATGCTGTCATGGCCAAGGGTGAATGCGTGCTCTGACTTGCTCGATGCAGAAATATGAAGTATTAAAGTTTATCTATGTTCTTTCAGGTAACATGTGGGCTCAGACCTGGTCTGGGATAATGGATCTAGTCATGCCCTACCCAGATGCCACACAGGTTGATGCTACACCTGCTATGGTGGCTCAGGTGAATGAATGCATGAAACATCGAAAGCATCATAAATTCACTGCTGCACACATAAGAACACAAGGACACACACAAATACACACACAGAAGTTACACTGTTCTCCTAGTCATTTTGCAGTTTTAAAGTTTAAAGATCAAGTTGGTTTTGTGACACCTGGACTCTGAAGTTACTTCAGGTCATCTATAACTCACATACTGTACAGTAAAGTGTGCTCAAAATACAAGGCTGTTATACCCCATTTTTCATGAAACTTCATTTGATTACTCCATATCTTGTCAATATTTGTAAAGGTGCTGTTGGTTCCTCCAAAAAAAAAAAAAAAGAAAAGAAAAGATTAAACATTTTGCAAAACTGTCAGAATAACTGCAACCTTTCTTTCAGGGCTGGAATGCTTCCAGGATGTTTCAGGAGTCTGATAGATTTTTCACCTCTCTGGGTCTGCTGCCAATGCCCAAAGAATTTTGGGACAAATCCATGCTGGAGAAGCCAAGTGATGGACGGAAGGTGGTTTGCCACGCTTCTGCATGGGACTTCTACAATCGAAAAGACTTCAGGTTTAACTTTATTGCACTTTTTGGGCCTCCAGTAGCTTTTCATTCAACCTTTATAGTTATGGCTTTATGGTTACAGGTTAGTCTCAGTGAGTCACAAGGACTCATTTACAAGAGACCTGTTTTAAACAAAAACCACAGATGAGGTACACACAATAATAAACAGTCATATAAAAGCATATAAAATGAAAAGTAAGAAAAAGAAGTGATATAAAACAAAATGAAAAAACACGCTACATTATAAAACAGTGTAAAATACTAAAAACAGGAACAGGTCTGCATTGATTTTTGCATTGAACTTAAAAGTTGTTTAAAATCCTTTTAGAAAGGTCAAAGTCGAGAGCTTCAGATCTTTTGCAAGGTGTTACAGGTTACAGAGCAGAGTATGAGAAGGCCCTTTGGCCAAATTTAGTCCACACTGAGGGGACACTGCAGGTAATGATGTCTTGAGAGTGCAAGCTGTAGCTGCACTGATGAAGTGACATGTAGGAGGAGATATATGAAGGCAGCGGACCAATGAGAGATTTAAAGATGAAAATGTACCAGTGTGAGGGTCTGTGTGAAGTTATTGATGACCAGTTGACCAATGAATACAGAGTGCAGTGATGAGTACAGTAGTTTCATCCATTTACGAATCTTAGCACACAGTGATAGACAGCATCCAACATCTGCAGGGTGCTTGCAGGAGCATTCATGTAAATAATGTCACCATAGCCAATGGATGGTAGGAAAGTAGCAGTTACAAGGTGTTTCCTAGCATTCAGAGTTAGACAAGATTTATTTCTGAAAAAGAAACCCAATTTTACTTTCAATTTTTTTACCAAGTTTTCAACCTGGGGTATAAAAGAGATGTGCATCGACTAAGATCCCCAAGTATTTGCACGAGTCGACAAACAATAGGAACACCATTTGTAGATAAGATAGAAGGAAGGACTGCTGGTACCGACTTCCTGTTTGAAAACAACATGTGAATCCTCAACATATCAATTTTACAAAGGAGGCTATGTGCATTCATGTGCAAAAAAATGTTGTCCTGACATGTTTTTAAAGTCTTTTGGTGTGCTGCAATGTGTTGGCTGTTACCAACAGATTGTAAGCCACATCTTGAGACATAATTCTTGAATCTTAAGATCTCAAAACATTTAACAGATTTAACAAACGACACTTGAGATAATGGTTAATCATTTGCATTTGAATTCTTGTTATGTATTACTTTTAACTGATTGTTCAATACTATAAAATATTGTCATGATGATGTTTTCTTTAAATATTTTTCTCTAGAAATAAATGTAATTTTGCCGTTGCTTGTGATTCCAGGATAAAACAGTGCACAGTTGTGACCATGGATGACCTGATCACGGTGCACCATGAGATGGGTCATGTTCAGTACTTCTTGCAGTACAAAAACCAGCCCGTGTCCTTCCGTGATGGAGCCAACCCTGGCTTCCATGAGGCCATTGGAGATGTTTTGGCCCTGTCAGTATCCACACCCAAACATCTGCAGAGCATAGGCCTCTTGGACAAAGTAGAGAACAACCATGGTGAGTAAGAGACACATAGTTATATAAAAAGTTAGCACTCTAACAGACATTTACTCAGGATTGTTCTAATTTCTGGCCCTCATGTAGAAAGTGACATCAACTTTCTGATGAGCATGGCACTCGACAAGATTGCTTTCCTGCCTTTTGGCTACCTCATGGATCAGTGGAGGTGGAAGGTTTTTGATGGACGCATCCCATCAACAGAATACAATAAAGAATGGTGGAACCTGATGTAAGGCCCAGTGTTGAGCATAATGTGTAAATGATTGATTACATTTACAGTGATTTATTAATCCACTAGGTTGTCTATTACAGACTGAAGTACCAGGGACTGTGTCCTCCTGTATCTCGCACTGAGGACGACTTTGACCCAGGTGCAAAGTTCCACATCCCCGCAAACGTGCCCTATGTCAGGTAAAGCTACAAAACTTTACAAAACAAATAAGACGAACCAAGCTAAGGAGCAGATAAGATACATGTGATGAGGAGCATGTTGTGTTCTTATCTATCACATGGCTTTAAATAATTATTGAGGGTGCCAAAGCAATCCATAGATAAACCTAGTTATTATTCTGTTCAAAATTTATAAGGTAGATAAAATGACAAAAGGGAACATTTTGGACAGCTGATACTGTGGCACAGTTCAAGATTTATTTAGAAACCTTGTTGTAACAGTGTCTGATTATTTTTGCATTAATTTGTGTTTTATTATTTTTAGGTATTTTGTTAGCTTTGTCATCCAGTTTCAGTTCCACAAGGCTCTTTGTGATGCTGCTAACCATGTTGGGCCTCTACACACATGTGATATCTACAAATCTCAGGCAGCTGGGAAACTGCTGAGGTTAGTATGCACATAATTCTCATTTAGCTGTTGAAAACATGCATTTAAAGATATAAATGCATTTACTAAACTGCACAATATATCTTTATCTCCCCCAAACTCGACTTGTATGTCTGTTTGCAGCGATGTGATGAAGCTCGGTAACAGCAAGCCTTGGCCTGAAGCCATGACCATGATCACTGGTCAGTCCAAAATGAGTGCCCAGCCCCTCATGCAGTATTTCAAACCCCTCATTGACTGGCTGGAGGCAGAGAACAGCAAGAACAATGATATTCGTGGATGGCCTGAGTATGACTGGAAACCTTACATGTTGAACCAAACAAGTACGTATGTCCAACATGCACTCACTCGCTTCATTGCAACCACAGAAATGCACATGCATTTGCAAGACGTTTGCATAAAATGAATTTTTTACACGTTTAAAGAAAAATGTTGTTGAACTTTATCCCAGATTTTTCTGGTTTTCCTGGTGAAATCAATCATCCACTCTTCTTGTTTTACTGATGAGCTCCTGCTGAAAGGATGCATGAAAATTAGACTGTTGAAATTCTTGAACGGAGCGATAGAAAGTGATACTGGGGTAAAGAGAGCTCCAGAGTTAAAGGTCAAAGAGCAAAACATGGGAACAGGAATGAATGAACAATAAGAGTTCAGATGTTTTGTAAATTTTACCGGTAGCTGCAGTTTTTGCATGAGAGAAGATGTTAATCATCTTGAGGTGCAGATTTGTTAGTCTGACAGAGACGGTCAAAAAGCACCATCTGTTGGTAGATTTGTTTTTTTAATAGGGAAAACAAAGGTGTTGAAAAAAGTTTTTGAAGGGTGTGGTGTTTGACATGTACAGACGCTTATGAGCTTATGATCTTATGGTCTTATGATCACTAGCTCTTCAGGTCTTTGTGTCTATGAGTCAAGCAAAATATTTTTAGCAAATAGATGTTAAAAAAAATTGCACAAAATCAGCGCATCCAGACTGAATTTTGTCAGTGATAACTTTCTGAAGAGGATAAAAGTGTCAGAAATGAATCAATTGTTGCTTTTTTGTACAGTAGGGGAGAATATCAACATTTAATGCCTGTGCGTATACTGTATCTGAGTTTCTGTACAAGTGACTTTTCTGATAATTTAGCAAAATGAACTATACTTTCTCTGCTTAAGCAATTTTCCAGTCTTAAACTGGTAGAAATGATCTTGAACTGTTTAGGTAACGACTAGTCTGAGCACAGCCAACACCAATTTAACAAATCTCTACCAGGAAGTGTCCTCAGGTTGCACCCAAGGTGCTACAGCCAGCTGCTACTGACGCTATTTTCACTTGTACATAGACGAATCATGTAAATAACCGTGTAATGTTGATTTCATGGGGATGTGGAGATTTATAAAGTAGTATTTGTTTTAAAAAGACAAGTATTGAAAATCATTGTTTTGCAGTGACGGAGGAAGAGATCACATCATTTTGATTAACAGAGAGTGTATTTGTTTTACCCTGACATTAGATTTCTAGCTTCAATGAGTTCTTGTAATCTGGTTTCTGTAAATTGACGCCAGTGCTTTGATTTTATTACGGATAAACTCCTTTTGAGAGCTGAAAGCTCCACAGATGTCTTGTGGTTTGTTCCTTCTGTGAATAAGCTCTGTTGAATGCAGAATGTGCCCTTAAAGTCTCTTCGTAATAAGACACAAAAATACAAGAGTCCCATTCCTCCAGTGGTGTTTTAAGGTGATAGTCGTTCACTTTGTTCTTGACGTTGCTCAGATTAGCTGTTAGCTCATTATTCTGGTTTGATTATCATTTTTTTTCTTCTAAACTGAAGCAGTTCTAAAAGTTTATTACAAATGGTAAGATATTGTTTTCTTAGTCCTGTTTCAGAAACCCCAACTTCAAAAACATCTGAACTCTTACTCTAACCATAGTAACCCACAACTTAGAATTTAAAATGTACCTTTTCTTTCCAGCTCTACAACCAAGCAAAACGTGCAACTACAAAAACATCTACCTGTTTTGAACTTGCAGCGCAGTGTTAGCATTGTTGTCTCACAGCAAGGTTGTGGGTTCAATCCCCAGTATGTGCCTGCGGTCTTTATGTGTTTGAATGTTCTCCTCATGATTGCATGGTTTTCTCCAGGTACTCCAGTTTCCTCCCATAGTCCACAAACATGCATATGTAGCCTGCCTTTCAGTCCAATCTTCTTAGAAAAAGAGCTCTATGATCTCAGAGATTTGCTTGGTTCGATAAATGTTAATATGGCTGCTCTTTTTTTTGTCTTCCAGACCCTACAGAAGAAACAAATGCTAATAAAGTGGACTTCCTGGGATTAAGTGTGAACAGTTCATCTGCCACAGCTGGCCAGTGGATCCTATTGGTCATTGGTCTGGTCCTCTTGGTGGCCACCATCCTAATTGCCTACAAATACAGGAAATCAAAAAAGCCTAGAAGGTCCTCATCCACACTGGAACTCAGGCAAAAAGACTAGACACAAGTACTGAATCAAACTGCCTTACTGCGGTTAACACAAAACCAAACTCAATGTGAACAAAACGTTTTATGTACTTCATATATGAACAAAGTAGCTCTTTGACGTTTCTGAATCAGTTTGCTTTAGTATTTTTCCACCTTTTCCTTTTTAATTTCAACTTGACTGCTTTTACTGCTGAAAGGTGAATCTTAATGGTGAAGAAATCCCAAAAATATTTAGGTAAACATTAGGAAGAAAACATTAAATTGCGTATTTCAACTAAAAAAGCCACTTCTAATTGTGTTGCAACATCTATAAAACTTTTTATCCTAAAGGATGTTATTGGTAAATAATTGTTTTTTAAATGGAATTAATTTAATGGAGAAAATTTGTTGACGATACTGTGTATAAACTGAAAATGTTCTAAAACCCATTTTATTTGTAAATGCTACAAATATATGTGATCAATTGGCTTGATTAATTGACCAATCTACTTCTTAGTTATTCTTGTCCAAGCAAGACATATGTTATTTTAGCTCAACATGAACCCTTAAAACATAATTTAAAAAACAACAACAATTTTTAATAATTTATTTCTTTTTCAGGTGTAAATAATCACTTACTGTTTTTGTGCATGATTTCTGTGCTGAAAAAAAAAAAAACTAATTAAACATACCAACATATACGTAGTCTTGAGTGAGTACCATTTAGGTCACATAAGCGATGTATTATATATATTTTAAATATAAGATAGCCTTTTAAAATACCTAAACTTGATCAATAACTAAAGGTAAATAATAAATGAGACAACTGTAAAAAAAAAATGTTGTAATAAACACAATTCCTACAAGTCTTTGATACAATGTACATAACTAACCTATAGACTCGTATTTCAACAGAACTAAAGAATAAAGTAAAAGTTGAAACTTGATTTTTTTTTCATGTGGATCAACTTTGTATTTCTTTGAGTCTGCCTCTTTTGCAGTTTTAATTACTGTTGAGACTGAAATGATTGTTTGCCCATGCAAAGAAACATGTCATTTTTGTAATTTATTTATATTTAAATGTTAAAGGAACAAATGTGTGAAATAAATGTAAAGCAGTGCATTGTGCAGACATTTTTTTAAACTGATTTTTGTCAAATCCTCTACAATAAAAACATTGAATTCTGCCTTTCTGTTGAAAATCACTTCGTTCTGTTGAAAACTATTTAATTACACCAGAGCTGCAGCATACAAAAGTTAAAACCATCAATACGTTTCAGTCCTCCACCCTTCTAGTTGTAAAGTCAATGAAGCCTCACAGAACAAAGTGCATTCGAGCTGATCAGGGAACAGGGACTGGAGTTGTAACACAATACTTGGTCCAAATCAGTGATTGTTTTCTTTCAGCGCAGTCTGTCTTCAGTACTGTAGGTTGACTGCACCGAGTTGCTTTATGCACAATTCAAGTGTTTTTTTTAATTTAATTGTTGTTTTTTAAAGAGCAAAAACTAGAAATACAAGCTTTCATTCACAAAGTCAAATGAACTTGTGTACAGTTTTATTCATACCCATTTATTCTGGATAATTTCATGTAGACAGATTTAATTCCAGTGTTTTGACTTCCCATTTGACTTTTTTTTTTTTTTTTTTACAAAATGGGTTCCATTATTTCTATTCTCTCCAGATGGTGTAATAAATACAATTTAAGCACACTTTCATGACTAATTCAACACACAAACAGTAAGCAGTTGCTTGAATGACTCCTGCTGTAAAAAAAAAAGATTCAGGGCTGATTGAACGTATGACATGAAAATGAGCACAAATATTTTACAACTAGAAACAGAATGCCGTAAAATGAAAACAAAGTATAAAAAAAAAAAAAAAATGTTGTAAAGCTTGCCCAACACTGACATTCATATAAAGACATTTACTGTAATATTTGTTAAAACGATCAACATATGTCCCAACAGCTTTTCCTCCAGCTGCTCGAGGCAGATGGCCGCCCATCCTGAACTCAGTTTCAGTTAAAAGGGAGTCGTTCATTTCCACTGGCACCAAAGTGCTGCTCAGAGTGGAAGATTGTTAAGGAGGAAGGATTTAACACAACCTGCTGGCTTCCTTAGATAACTTTAATTGACATTTAAAACTGTATGTAAATGTTTTTGTACAGTGTTGAGGTGACTTTTGTTGTCAATTGGCACTATCTAGGGGTCAAGATGGTGTAGAGGTAGGGCGGCCGACTTGGGCCCATAATGTTGCAGGCTCAACTCCCTGCCATGACTACATGCCGTGGTGCCCTTGAGCACCCAATCCCAAATTGCTCCCCGGGTGCTTACATAGCTCACTGCTCCACCTGGGTGTATCTCACGTGTGATGGGTTAAATGCAGAGAACTAATTTCATCATTGTACGCAAACATACAGTGATGACAACACATAGCACTTTATTTATCTAAGTAAACTGAATTAAATGGAATTAAATAATACGATACAAGAAAGTAATCCTGAAGTTGAAGTCAAAACAGCAAGAGCGCCCCCTGTAGCGCCTATAAACCAAATACTGCCAGCTTCAATATTTAACAGGAGGAGACAAAGGCACTTCATCTATTTTTTTTTTATGTTAATGGTTTAAAGGCAATAAAGCATAAAATGAATTTGTTGGACCGAGCAGAAATGACAAGAATCTACCGACTAGAACAGACGTTGTAGACTAAGTACTTAAACTACCACAGACTTTCATAAAAAAAAAAATTACAAGAGTTGAAATTTACATAAAAACAAAAACAGATTTAAGACATTAATACCTTAAACAAATTATGCAGCCTACGGTTCCAATGTACAACAGAGCAACCAACAAAAATAGTAAAAAAAAATTACAATCTCTCAAACGAAATGTTCAGAATATTGCACAGAAAAAGTTGAGGAAGTCTATTCAAAAAAATAAAAACAACAACTAAAGCAGTCTCTGCAGTTGGTCCTTGTGCCCTGCAGTGTCCTTGTGGCTCAGTGAGGGCCCAGAGTTCTTTGTTTGGCCCCTGTGGCAGTGAGTGGTTCACGGTTCAAAGCAAAGGCATCAGTAGTAGCAACGCTGCATCTCTGTCCAGTTGGTAATCCAGTACTTTTTCTGTGGCTCCTCGGGCTGAAATCCCAAATTGAACTGATAGCGCTCATCCCTGCGAATTTTCACCCCTCGATACTTCGGCATTATTCTGTAGTAGATGGATCGCTTGAAGAATCCAAGCTGGCAGGGAAATGGAAAGTACAAGTTGATTATATGGAAAGCAAAGCACTGGGATAAATGGTATTAAAGACAGAGATTTAGGGTTAGAAGAGAAAGCTGTGAAAAGTCAAGTCAGACTATAGCGAAACCCTTAATCCACTGGGTGGTGTGGGAAAAAGATCGAAAGATGAGAAATAAATACGTCTATTCAAAATAATACGACAGTGTGTAAACTGTAAATAAAAACAGAATGCAATGATTTAAATATTTCAGAATCATGTAGTTAATTTCCCATGCAACAGTAAGCATAAGAAGTGTTTGAACTAAGAAGCTGAACTGTTATTGGAAAATATGGTAATTTTTGAATTTTATGGCAGCAGCTCATCAAAAATATTGAGACATGACAATATTTAATTTTGTGAAGAAGCTCTTTTATTAACTGTAAACATGCAGGAACTGAGGAGGCCAGCTGCTGGAGCTTTTGCAGGACAATGTTGTCTCATTCTTCTCTGATGTAGGATTAATAGGCCTTCTTGGTCAATGATTATTATTATATTATTATTATATTGTTGAGAGGTCTGGACTGCAAACAGGTTGGTTCAGCACCAGGACTCGTGTACTATAAAGCCATGCTGTTGTAATTGATGCAGTATGTGGTTTTCAGTCTCTACAATTATCTGTTCAGGAAGACTACTGAAATTATTCCACTATTTTTAGACATGTTTGTTGCAAACTGGTGAACCTCTGCCCATCTTTACTTCTAAGAGATTCAGTCACTCTAAAATGATCTTTTTAAACCCAGTCTTTTTATGGATCAATCGCCTGTTATCCTAATTTGTTGCAAAATGCTCCTCCAGGTGTTTCCTATTCACATCACTTACTGTAATTTCTGGACTATAAGCCACTACTTTTTACACACACTTTGAACACAGCAGCTTATACAATGCTGCGACTAACTTAAGGATATATATATATATTTTTTTTTTGACGGGCTAATGAGCTTCATGCCTTCGTGATGAAGAGGACTACACAAACTCATGGGCGCAGTGCGCAGGAGGAAGATGAAGATAGCGATCAATGACTTCCTGGTAGGCTACTGTATTTTTATTTATTTTTTTACCAGTTGTGTTACAGGCACTGTGCAGAAAAAAAAAAAAATTACTGTACATATTTGTGGATGTTACCAGTTTAATTAAACGTTTCAAAAACCTTTCTGTGTAAATATCTCATGTTGTAATGTGGATACTCGCAGTTTATAGACAAGTGCGGTATATATGTACCCATTTTTTTTTTTATTCAGGTGCGCTAAATAGTCAAGAAATTATGTTATTAAATTATTATATTATTTACAGCCTTTTGTTTCCCCTGTTCCAACTTTTTTAGATGTGTTGCTGCCGTCAAATTTACAATTACCTTACTTTTTTTTTTTTTTTTTTTTAATGTTACAACCTTTTAGTTTAAACATTTGACATGCTCTATGTGGAATAAAATATGGGTTTATGAAATTTGCAAATCACTGCATTCAGTTTTTATTTACATTTTACACAGCAAGCTAACTTTCTAGGAATCAGGGTTGTAGGACAGGAAGTATAGAGTATTTGCCTGAAAGAAAATCAGAAGAAATGTTAGTCCGATTAATCAGAAGAAGCTGAGGAGACAGAAAACAAAGTGTTAAGCTGAGTCACACCCCAAGCTTGGTGGGACTTTAATTTACCCCAAATCCCCATTGATGTGTGCTGTCAGGAAACACATGGGGGCCTTAGTAGTCCTCAGTCAGCCTCTCTGTCTCAGAGGGCTGGATCTTCATCTCGGCTTTCTGGGCCTTGGCTTCATACATTTCCCTCCTGCTAGCCCTCTGGAAGAAGCCACACTGGGGGATGGAGGAGGAGGATGAATAAGAGGGTACACCAGGGGGGATTAAGGTTAGACTTAAGTTAGATTTTAAAATCAGTCTAATGAATGTCATCCAGATTAGACGGTTTGCTAAGAGAACATGTGGAGACATGTCAAAAGAAAAGTTTCTCAGGGTGTAATCAGATCAGTGTGGTCTCACCTTCCACAGTATGAGAATTATGATTCCTAGTAGCACAATTCCTGCTACAGCTGAAGATATGATGATCCACAGTGGAAGCTCATAGGGTGTCTCCACCTCCTCCTCTGGTTCTATCTCTACCATGAACTATACCAGAGACACAGAGACAGTTCAATTAAATCAATATTACCGGTATGTCATCAGTATTGTTATGATAACCACATACACTGAAGGTCTGGTTGTCCATCTTGATGGTTGGTTTATCTGTGATGAGCTTCAATGTGGCTTGACCAGTGACTGTAACTCTCAGAGCATTGGAATAGTCCTGCAGATGCACACACAGAACATCGAAATGTCGTTGGAAGAGAAGAGAATGCTCAGATTTACATTTTAAACTATACAAAGGGTTTTAAAAGTAAACATGATCTTGTCTTGCAACAAAATGTTTGTGCGCACAGTGTGTTTTGCATGGAGCCTCCCAATCCTAAAAGCTGAAAACCAAATTCAGAGCTGGAAAAAAAAAAAACCCACTGCAACTGCTAGATGAGATTATTTACACACACTGTCCAAAGAAGCACCAAGGACGAATGGTCTGATGTAGATGTAATCTGGTCCACACGCAGAGTATACATATACATACAAAGTTGGATTTGCACAGAGCTGGCACATCTGGAACAGACACCAGATGGCATACGTTATGGAATCATAAGATGAGTGACTGAGTTAGCAGGCTGTTTGCCAATATTTCAGAGAGATGCATTGTTGTTACTCCTGGCATCATGGTGTAGCAAAGAGTAAGACTTCAGATTACGTCTGGTAGAGATTCAGCAAACCCTGACAGCATACAAGTGTTTTATTGCTCCTGAGACAGCACCCTCTGTACAGTCTTTCAACAAGAGAACACCCATCACATGACATGCATCTATGGACCACCTGCACCCTTTAGAGGTCCTCCTTTGACCAGCCAAATCCCCCAATTTTCTCCTTTTAAAATTTAACCCAGACCCCATCTGACTGATATTGGCATCAACTTACAGCAGCTGTGGGCTGATTTGCCACCGAACAGGACAGCACTTGTATTCAGAATCATGGGATGCCACACCCTATATGCCAACTGCTTCAGCTGTTTGGTCTGATCTTGTAATTGTTGTAATACAGTCACATGATATTTACATATATACAGTTTAATTCCCCCCACTCCATCTGAGTACTTAATCTTTTTTCTTGTTGAGTGTGGAAATATGTGCGTGCCTGTGTGTGTGTTGGGGTGGGGGGGGGGGGGATAAATTTTTGTTTCAAGTTACATTATTGGGACTAATTTTACAAAAAAATCCTACACTGTGGGAACCAACTGCTCCTTGTGGGAACCAAAGCCAGGTCCCCATAAGGATAAGTCTTGTTACCATACCATACCACTTTATTTATAAAGCACTTAAAACAGCTACAAAGCCAACCAAAGTGCTGTACAGACAAAACAACAGGTAACACATAAAGCAAAATACAAACTGAGGTAAATCATTGTTGGGGGTTAGGTTTAAGACTAAGGTATGAATTCCAGATGGGTTAGAGTTAGGCATGTACTAGTAATGGTTAGGTTTAGGGAAAGGGTCAGGGTTAGGCTATAGAAAATTAAGTCAATGCAAAGTCCCCACAAAGTACATTTACAAGAACGTGTGTGATGTGTGCATCTGGTGAGCTGACCTCCAGCATCGTACTGTTCCACAGCCGTGACCGAACGTAGATCATGGCTGAAGTAGACATGTTGAGCAGGGGACAGGTAAACGTCACACAGTTGGCTGTCCCTTTGGAGCAATCCTTCAAGTGAGGTAAAAAAGCAAGAACTTTTACTCAAGAGAGAAAACATGGATAACAACATTATTTTGCTTTTCATTAATTTTGTTTCATGTTATTCCGCTAAATATTAGACAGGCCTCTTCATTGTCTTCTTTTAAATCATTAGTTAAAACTTACTTGTATAATAAGGCTTTTAATATCTGAATTTCTTCATATTTTTATTTTCATTTGCTCTTATATTGTTATGTATTTTAATTGATTTGGTATACTTTTGTGTTTCTGGTGTCATTTATGATCTTGTTTTAATTGATTAATGTGAAGTACTTTGTAACATTAGTTTAAAAAGTGCTATACAAATAAAGTATTATTATTACTGGTATATTATTATTATTACTTATTATGATTAATTTCTGAGGATTTCACAGTTTTATATTTAAACCTCTAACAACCTCTTAACATTTAAGGTCAGTTAAGATGCTTTTCATTGATTTGGAGGAGCGACAATTTTTTTTATTTATTCAAAGGTTATTACAGTATTACCCACTGCTGAAAGGCAGAAGGCGAGCGATAACTCAGTCAATTTTAAAAATACCGAGCTAAAATTGGATGTGGTACAAGCTAACTGTCCTTCTAAACATGTATTATAGTTTGGCATTACTGTTGGTTAACCTAGTTTGTCTGATACCAAAATACACTGCCTGGCCAAAAAAAAAAAGTTGCCACTTGGATTTAACTAAACAAATAGGTACAAGCCTCCTACTGGATAATTACTGCATGGGTGATTATCTTCAACAAGTTATTTAACCCCAACTGGTGCAATGAGTTGCTTCTCATTTCTTAAACAACCATGTTGAAAGACACATTGCGTGGTCGTGGAAAATATGTCAGTCTGTTTGAGAATGGTCAAATCATTGGCATCAAGCAGAGAAAACATCTAAGGAGATTGAAGAAACTACTAAAATTGGGTTAAGAACTGACCAACACATTATTAAAAACTGGAAGGATAGTGGGGACCCATCGTCTTCGAAGAAGAAATGTGGCTGGAAAAAAATCCTGAATGATCGTGATTGACGATCACTTAAACGTTTGGTAAAATCAAATGGAAGAAAAACAACAGTAGCACTCAGGGCTATGTTTAAAAGTGAAAGTACGAGAATTTCCACAAACACGTGAAGGAAACTCAAGGGATTGCGACTGAACAGTTGTGTAGCCTTAAGAAAACCACTAATCAGTGAGGCTAACTGGAAAAAAAAGGGTTCACTTTGCTAGACAGCGTAAAGATTGGACTCTGGAGCAATGGAAGAAGGTCATGTGGTCTGATGAGTCCAGATTTACTCTGTTCCAGAGTGATGGGTGCATCAGGGTAAGAAGAGAGGAAGGTGAAGTGATGCACCCATCATGCCTAGTGCCATCCATCCATCCATCCATCCATTTTCTTCCGCTTATCCAGGGTCGGGTCGCGGGGGTAGCAGCCTAAGTAGGGAGGCCCAGACTTCCCTCTCCCCAGCCACTTGGACCAGCTCTTCCGGGGGAATCCCTAGGCTTTCCCAGGCCAGCCGAGAAACATAGTCCCTCCAGCGTGTCCTGGGTCTTCCTCTGGGCCTCCTTCCGGTGGGACGTGTCCGGAACACGTCACCAGGGAGGCGTCCAGAAGGCATCCTAAACAGATGCCCAAGCCACCTCAACTGGCTCCGCTCGACGTGGAGAAGCAGCGGCTCTACTCTGAGTCCCTCCCGGATGATCGAGCTTCTCACCCTGTCTCTAAGGGAGAGCCCAGACACCCTGCGGAGAAAACTCATTTCGGCCGCTTGTATCCGAGATCTCATTCTTTCGGTCACAACCCAAAGCTCGTGACCATAGATGAGGGTAGGAACGTAGATTGATCGGTAAATTGAGAGAGCTTCGCCTTTTGACTCAGCTCTCTCTTCACCACGACAGACCTGTACAGTGCCCACTTCACTGCAGACGCTGCACCTATCCGCCTATCGCTCTCACGCTCCATTTTTCCCTCATTCGTGAACAAGACCCCAAGATACTTGAACTCCTCCACTTGGGGTAGGACCTCCTCCCTGACCCGGAGAGGGCACTCTACCCTTTTCTGGCTCAAGATCATGGCCTCGGATTTGGAGGAACTGATCTTCATCCCGGCCGCGTCGCATTCGGCTGCGAACCGCTCCAGCAAAAGCTGTAGATCACGATCTGATGAAGCCGATAAGACCACATCATCTGCAAAAAGCAGAGACGCAATCCTAAGGCCACAAACACCTTGGCTGCGCCTAGAAATTCTGTCCATAAAAGTTATGAACAGAATCGGTGACAAAGAGCAACCTTGGCGGAGTCCAACTCTCACCGGGAACAAGCCCGACTTACTGCCGGCGGTGCGGGCCAGGCTCTGACACCGGTTATACAGGGACCTAACAGCCCGTATCAAAGGGCCCGGTACCCCATACTCCCAGAGTACCCCCCACAGGGTCCCCTGAGGGACGCGGTCGAACGCCTTCTCCAAGTCCACAAAGCACATGTAGACTGGTTGGGCAAACTCCCACGCACCCTCCAGGACCCTGCTGAAAGTGTAGAGCTGGTCCAGTGTTCCACGGCCAGGACAAAAACCGCACTGCTCCTCCTGAATCCGAGGTTCGACTATCCGACGGACCCTCCTCTCCAGAACCCCCGAATAGACCTTACCAGGGAGGCTTAAGAGCGTGATTCCCCTGTGGTTGGAACAGACTCTACGGTCCCCCTTTTTGAATAGGGGGACCACCACCCCGGTCTGCCAATCCAGGGGAACTTCCCCTGATGTCCACGCAATATTGCAGAGTCACGTAAGCCAACACAACCCTACAACATCCAGAGCCTTAAGGAACTCTAGGCGAATCTCATCCACCCCTGGGGCCCTGCCACCGAGGAGCTTTTTTAACCACCTTGGTGACCTCAGCACCAGAGATTGGAGGGCCCGACCCAGAGTCCCCAGGCTCCACTTCCTCAGTGGAAGACGTGTCGGTGGGATTGAGGAGGTCTTCAAAGTATTCCGCCCACCGACCCACAACATCCCGAGTTGAGGTCAGCAGCACACCACTCCCACTATAAACAGTGTTGGTGGCGTACCGCTTTCCCCCACTGAGACGCCGGATGGTGGACCAGAATCGCCTCGAAGATGTGCGGAAGTCGTTCTCCATGGCCTCTCCGAACTCCTCCCATGCCCGAGTTTTTGCCTCAGCAACCACCCGAGCCGCATGTCGCTTGGACAGCCGGTACCCATCAGCTGCTTCCGGGGTCCCACAGGCCAAAAAGGCCCGATAGGACTCCTTCTTCAGCCTGACAGCATCCTCACCGACGGTGTCCACCATCGGGTTCAAGGGTTGCCACCGTGACAGGCACCGACAACCTTGCGGCCGCAGCTCTGGTAAGCCGCCTCGACAATAGAGGCACGAAACATGGTCCACTCAGACTCAATGTCCCCCACCTCCCTCGGAACATGTTCAAAGTTCTCCCGGAGGTGGGCGTTGAAACTCTGTCTCACAGGAGACTCTGCCAGACGTTCCCAGCAAACCCTCACAATACGTTTGGGTCTGCCAGGTCTGACCGGCATCCTCCCCCACCATCGGAGCCAACTCACCACCAGATAGTGATCAGTTGACAGCTCCGCCCCTCTCTTCATACGAGTGTCCAAGACAAGTGGCTGCAGATCAGATGAGACGATGACAAAGTTGATCATCGAACTGCGGCCTAGGGTGTCCTGGTGCCAAGAGCACATATGGACACCCTTATGCTTGAACAAGGTGTTTGTTATTGACAATCCATGATGAGCACATAAGTCCAGCAACAGAACACCACTCAGGTTCAGATCAGGGGGGCTGTTCCTCCCAACCATACTCCTCCAGGTCTCACTGTCATTGCCCACATGAGCATTGAAGTCCCTCAGCAGAACAAGGGAGTCCCCAGGAGGTGCACTTTCCAGTACCCCCTCCAAGGACTCCAGAAAGGGTGGATAATCTGAACTGCTGTTTGGTGCATAAGCACAAACGACAGTCAGAACCCGTCCCCCCACACGTAGGCGAAGGGAGGCCACCCTCTCATTCACTGGGGTGAACCCCAACGCACAGGCACCAAGTTGGGGGGCAATAAGTACGCCTACGCCTGCTCGGCGCCTCTCACCAGGGGCAACTCCAGAGTGGAAGAGTGTCCAGCCCCTCTCAAGGAAACTGGTTCCAGAGCCCGAGCCATGCGTAGAGGTGAGTCCGACTATTTCTAGCCGGAACCTCTCAGCCTCACACACCAGCTCAGGCTCCTTCCCCACCAGTGAGGTGACATTCCACGTCCCAATAGCCAGCTTCTGTAGCCGAGGATCAGACCGCCAGGGTCCCCGCCCTCGGCCACCACCCATCCCACATTGCACCCGACCCCTTTGGCCCCTCCCACAGGTGGTGAGCCCATGGGAAGGGGGACCCACGTCTCCTCTTAGGGCTGTGCCCGGCCGAGCTCCATGGGTA